TACAAGTAACAGTATTAGTGACAGTACTAGTGACAGTACTAGTGACAGTACAAGTAACAGTACTAGTGACAGTACAAGTAACAGTACTAGTGACAGTACTAGTGACAGTATTAGTGACAGTACAAGTAACAGTACTAGTGACAGTACTAGTGGACAGTAACTAGTGACAGTACTAGTGACAGTACAAGTAACAGTACTAGTGACAGTACAAATAACAGTACTAGTGACAGTACTAGTGACAGTACTAGTGACAGTACTAGTGACAGTACTAGTGACAGTACTAGTGACAGTACAAGTAACAGTACTAGTGACAGTACTAGTGACAGTACTAGTGACAGTACAAGTAACAGTACTAGTGACAGTACTAGTGACAGTACTAGTAACAATACTAGTGACAGTACTAGTGACAGTACTAGTGACAGTACTAGTGACAGTACTAGTAACAGTACTAGTGACAGTACTAGTGACAGTACTAGTGACAGTACTAGTAACAGTACTATTGACAGTACTAGTGACAGTACTAGTGACAGTACTAGTGACAGTACTAGTAACAATACTAGTGACAGTACTTTTGACAGTACTAGTGACAGTACTAGTGACAGTACTAGTGACAGTACTAGTGACAGTACTAGTGACAGTACAAGTAACAGTACTAGTGACAGTACAAGTGACAGTACTAGTGACAGCACTAGTGACAGTACTAGTGACAGTACTAGTGACAGTAGTAGTGACAGTACTAGTGACAGTACTAGTGACAGTACAAGTAATAGTACTAGTGACAGTACAATTAACAGTACTAGTGACAGTACTAGTGACAGTACTAGTGACAGTACTAGTGACAGTACAAGTAACAGTACTAGTGACAGTACAAGTAACAGTACTAGTGACAGTACTAGTGACAGTACTAGTGACAGTACAAGTAACAGTACTAGTGACAGTACTAGTGACAGTACTAGTGACAGTACTAGTGACAGTACAAGTAACAGTACTAGTGACAGTACAAATAACAGTACTAGTGACAGTACTAGTGACAGTACTAGTGACAGTGCTTGTGACAGTACTAGTGACAGTACTAGTGACAGTACAAGTAACAGTACTAGTGACAGTACTAGTGACAGTACTAGTGACAGTACAAGTAACAGTACTAGTGACAGTACTAGTGACAGTACTAGTGACAGTACAAGTAACAGTACTAGTGACAGTACTAGTGACAGTATAAGTAACAGTACTAGTGACAGTACTAGTGACAGTACTAGTGACAGTACTAGTAACAGTTCTAGTGACAGTACTAGTGACAGTACAAGTAACAGTACTAGTGACAGTACAAATAACAGTACTAGTGACAGTACTAGTGACAGCACTAGTGACAGTACTAGTGACAGTACAAGTAACAGTACTAGTGACAGTACAAGTAACAGTACTAGTGACAGCACTAGTGACAATACTAGTGACAGTACTAGTGACAGTACAAGTAACAGTACTAGTGAGAGTACAAGTAACAGTACTAGTGACAGTACTAGTGACAGTACTAGTGACAGTACTAGTGACAGTACAAGTAACAGTACTAGTGACAGTACAAGTAACAGTACTAGTGACAGTACTAGTGACAGTACTAGTGACAGTACAAGTAACAGTACTAGTGACAGTACTAGTGACAGTACTAGTGACAGTACTAGTGACAGCACTAGTGACAGTACAAGTAACAGTACTAGTGACATTACAAATAACAGTACTAGTGACAGTACTAGTGACAGTACTAGTGACAGTACTAGTGACAGTACTAGTGACTGTACAAGTAACAGTACTAGTGACAGTACTAGTGACAGTACTAGTGACAGTACAAGTAACAGTACTAGTGACAGCACTAGTAACAGTACTAGTGACAGTACTAGTGACAGTAATAGTGACAGTACAAGTAACAGTACTAGTGACAGTACAAGTAACAGTACTAGTGACAGTACTAGTGACAGTACTAGTGAGTACTAGTGACAGTACAAGTAACAGTACTAGTGACAGTACAAGTAACAGTACTAGTGACAGTACTAGTGACAGTACTAGTGACAGTACAAGTAACAGTACTAGTGACAGTACTAGTGACAGTACTAGTGACAGTACTAGTGACAGCACTAGTGACAGTACAAGTAACAGTACTAGTGACAGTACAAATAACAGTACTAGTGACAGTACTAGTAACAGTACTAATGACAGTACTAGTGACAGTACTAGTGACAGTACTAGTTGCAGTACAAGTAACAGTACTAGTGACAGTACTAGTGACAGTACTAGTGACAGTACAAGTAACAGTACTAGTGACAGTACTAGTGACAGTACAAATAACAGTACTAGTGACAGTACTAGTAACAGTACTAATGACAGTACTAGTGACAGTACTAGTGACAGTACTAGTGACAGTACAAGTAACAGTACTAGTGACAGTACTAGTGACAGTACTAGTTACAGTACAAGTAACAGTACTAGTGACAGTACTAGTGAGAGTACTAGTGACAGTACTAGTGACAGTACAAGTAACAGTACTAGTGACAGTACTAGTGACAGTAGTAGTGACAGTTCAAGTAACAGTACAAGTAACAGTACAAGTAACAGTACTAGTGACAGTACTAGTGACAGTACTAGTGGAAACAAGGTAAACAGTGGTAGAATGGAAGTAGTTTTAATTTTTATCAATAATATGTGTAGCGATGTTGTGGTGTTTTAAGTATTTCCAAGTAACAAGTAACAAGTAACAAGTAACAAGTAACAAGTAAGGTAAAATCTACACTATAATAATACTGAAAGTAATTTCTACCTTAAACATAAAGCAAACTGAGAATTATTATCAATAAAGTGAAAGTCACAGCAGAAGCAGAATATATATATATATATATATATATATATATATATTAATATATATATACACATAAAGTCAGAGGGCCTATAGTAGTAGAATTATTATGTAATTTGTTTATTGATTCTCCGTTGAGTTTACATATGTAAATAATGTTAATAAAAGGTTTATGTGGATGAGGTTAAATTTTGCTAAAATGTTTGAATTAAAGATGTGAACCTTGGGTCAGAGGATTTTATAAACATTATTGTATTTAACAGTTAAATTAATGATATTAAAATTAACTTACCATCAGCATCTTCTCATATTTTCACTTTCTTAATTTCTCCTTATATCTACCCTAATAATACCTGTTATGAAAGAGTTAATTTTAACCATCAGATCTATAGACCTACTCAAAGCTACTAAATAGTCTAAATATACAAACTGCTGTTGTATGAAAAACCTAAAATCTAATAGATAAAATCTAATATATAAAACTGCTTGTATTCCCAGACTGTAATCTTGGTACTAAGCGATGCAGTGGTCTTTTTAAATATAAAAATCACACGCATTTTATTATTAAGAGCCAAGGAACATAACGTAAAAAAAATGGAGCTTAGCAGTAGATAATAACTTTTAAAAATAGTTGGAGATTGCTTACTACAGATATAGCACACCAAAAGCGAGTATTGACTATATTTTACTACAAGATTTTGAAAAAAAAATGGAATAAAACGGCTAGTGGATGGTGGGTGAGGTCAGCATTGCCGGCGTTTGGTTATAAACGCACATAAGTGCACATGCCGAGGGGACAGCATACGATCACAGGTTCACATGCTGAGGAAACTACACAGGTGCTGACTACAAAGGCTTCAGCGTGAACATCTACCTACAAGCTGCCAGTGGTGGAGGGGAAGTTATTGTTGCCGAGGCCCGACCTGGCTTGCGCTTTCTCGTTTCCGTCATCTTATTTTTCTAAATGTAAATATTATCAGTTTTTTTTTGTATATGTATGGTATACATTATCGACAAGATAAAGAATTAGACACATGTTCAACACCTGGGAAATTTTTATTGAAGATGTTTCGACATCCAGTGGCTTTATCAATTATGAACTTGAATTTGTATTGATAAATCCACTGGATGGCGAAACGTCTACAATAAAGATACCCAGATGTTGCACATGTGTTTACTTCTTCGTTATCAGGTTTGTTACGTTATCGTATCTGTTGAAGACGAGTATCCTCAGACGCTACCGACAGTCTCACGTAAACTTTCACTTGCCGTAACCAATTCTGTAATCCTTATAATTTACAACACCTCTCTATTACAAATTTGACTTCGATTCATTACAACAGAGAAAGAATATCTGTGATTATTTGTTTTGGCTCTACACCTATTAAAAGAAATTGGTACCCATATATGATCTGTTTACACGTGTCACAAAATGAGGTTAAAGTCACGTGCGTAACAGTTATATTGACGCTGTGATGACAATAAGTAATTTAATACAATTCCTGCTTATCTTCCCCTTGCCAGTCTCTGAATTCCTTCCCTCCTCTCATAACCCTAAAGATAAAAAAAAAGTCATTATCAGTGGCCTGTTGGAAATGTCCTCCTCTCTTCAATGGGATTAATACCTCGGGATGGGGGAGGGGGGGAAAGCCAAAATATGTCTACTATTTTATTCGAAATTCAATGGACGAGTTGTATGACAAAGGGTAATGACGGGCTGCCTATAGCCAGCCAAGGAAAGTGAGTTAGCACTACACGTCCCCATATGAAATGAAGAGCGTACATGCAAGCGTGACCACGGACGATACAGAGTTATGGGTAAAGTCAGGATGACCTCGCCAGGTCAGGGATGGAGGGGAAGGGGTGAGCCAGGGGCAGCCAGAGGTGACCTGGGAGTGCCCAGGTCACGCGTTCAGGTTGGGTAGCTGGTAGGATGGGCCCTGCTACCTCGCACTAACTTCAGCTTACTAGTCACTAATGTAAAAATAGGGTTTGACAAACTATAGCCAGACTCTAAGGCACTAGATCTTTAGACACTCATGGTACAGGCTAGATGAAACTGAAGGAATTTGGGATAAATGGTCAAGTTTTCTAAAATAAGTCTTGCATATATAAGATTGCATTCCAACTAAACCCAGTAAGTATAAGTCAGTGTTACCTGGTGAAGATGGCAACACGCTCTCTCTAACATCTCGGGCGGTACTAGTGAGCTTAGCCAGGTACACAAGGTTTCACGTACAGGTGTGCCCGAGAGCACAGGTGCACACACCCAGCTGCTGGCGGATGGCTGGACAGTGTTCAGGTGATCAAGTCTCAAGGTGGCCTTCGTCACAGCCTCGCCAGGGACAAACAGTGCCATGTCTGCTGGTGCCTACAGGTGCCAGGGGGTTAGAGAAAGGGATAGCAGGTATGGGAGAGGAGAGGGATAGGGGATATTGTTGCGGCTGTGGGGATGGGGCAGAATGAGTGGCACTATTGTCTTTTACAGAAAGGGGAGACACGTGTGTTTGAGGTGTAATGTGTATTGAGTCAATGGGGATGATGTTCATGCAAGATGCGAGAGTAAGTCAGCCGAGAAAGAAAGGCAGGGCAGGGATTAAGGTCAGGAATATGTGTCCCGGGCACAGTGGAAGCATCATCAGGAATAGACACACAGGAAAGAAGAGATAAGGTCACAGTGAGTGAGAGGTGAGGTTAGAAAGAAGGAAACTAAGGTCATGGATCGAGATGAAAGAGAAGAAGATAAGGAAGCAAGGTGCTGAGGTCAGGAATAAGTGTCCCAGACACTGGATACAAAGGTGGTACTGCCGACGGTGACGAAGTAAAGACACAAGTGACAAGCAAGCTTGTATTGTGACAGTTTCTCTCCATATACAGCTTTAACAAGCCAATTTTTATGCAACACTACGGAGAAAAACGTTCTCACAGTGACAGCCTACTTTACACCTGTCTCTTGTCCCAAACACTGTGTAAGCATCAGGTATAGACACACTGGGAGGAGGCGAGGTCAGGTCACAGGAAGGGGAAGGTCAGGTCCTAGCTGGGGGAGGGTGATATCAGGTCACAGGGAGAGGCAGTTCAGGAGTAAATATCCCAGGCACCTAGGACTTGCATATCATGAGGCACTAAAGGCCACACCAGAATCTTTGCTCTAGTCAGTGTAGTACAGTGATTGGATGGGTAAGGGAGGCACTTCATGAAAAAAATATCAGGAGGTTGAGAGAAGGAATGATGGAGAGAGGCAAGGAAAGGAACAAGGAAATAGAGACATAAGGACAGAAACAGCACAAGAAAAAGCAAGACAGCCACGACACACACATACTCTGGAGCCTGAAAAGAGACTCCGACGTGTATAAGAATTCTTTATCCCATAAATAAGTCGTTGGAATGTATTCACAAACAACAACAAATCGACCCCACTAAGATCTTTGTCGAGTTATATTTTAATGTATCTAAATGAAGAGAAAAAAGGTATGGAACTTTAATACACTACAGAGTTTATTTTTAAAAAATATGGAAGGGAGGGAATTATTGTTTATTATTTATTTTTACACCCCATTTGATCAAAATTATACCAAAAACACACATATATATAATGTATTGGCAAACCGTGCTTCTCTATATGCTCGTATTATTTGCGGTAAAATTTTTAAAAAGACAATAAGTGCCAGTGCACGGTACACGTTACATAGTGAACTGCAGAATCTAGACTCCACTAGGGGATATTTTAACATCTTTGTACATCTATAATTTAAGGCATATTTATTTGTGGCCAAATTTAACTGACACATGGGAGTTTGGTATGATTTATTTTTTTAAGAAAATAAGGAAATTAGAAAAAAGATAAAAAAAAAATAGAAGCCAAAAATAGGGAGAGAGCACTAAGGATAGGTTGAGGCTGAGCGAGGATGATTCCAATCAATGTGGTGGGTGTTGTCTTTGATCTGTCCGGGATTAGACTATGATAACTTTGTCAAAAAAACCACCACTGGCTTGCCTCTATCTACTTGGGCCAGTCAGCTGTGCCCACGGCGCTACGCACCAAGACAATTTTGGTGTTCCTTCCACAACACCAGCTCTGGTGGTTGAAAACAAGTTTTGGTCCTCTAAAAATTGTTCATGCAAGCATCACACGTGTTAGAGTGCTATATCTCTGGTAAATCTTATAACATATCTCTGTTTGGGTCAACTACGTTAACATAAAACGGAATCTACGCCAGTGCGGCATGTCCATATGAACAAAATTCTAGTTAATTCTTTGAGTCAACTGAATAAGACTCTTAAAGTTATTAATTTCATTAACCATTTGAGGTCACCGTAGTAAGGCTTATCAGGCTCACCTGACTATCCTTACACTAGCATTACCACGCGTGAAGCAGATTGATGTCCTACAACCACATGTTCAGAGTATTTAATTTCACTGCGCTAAAGCAGTAATGGGAGCCAAATAGCGCCTGGGAAATGGAAGGTAATCAGGTTTGGCCCAAGGAAAGGGAAGGCGGATCCAATTCCTTGGTTCAAAAGCCCTTCACCAGCATCAGCATACATGTGATCGAAGGTCAAGGATCTGGCCAGCGTGTGCTTGCCCCTGTGATAGGCTAGTTGTAGTGACTATCCAGCATTCCTATTGGCTCCAACGTTTAAATACAAGCACTTGACATATTACCTGGCTTCTGGGCATGTTTACTGGTATATTTGTACCTTAACTAGCATCTGGACAACTAACTTGTGGAGAAGAACTAGTATCAACTAGCTTCTGGGCAATTGTGGAGATGAACTAGCTACTTGGAAGATAAAATATACGTACTCTGTACACTCTCGGCACTTCTCCTTTGCTCGAGTCCTCGCTGGAGTTAAAGTTACTACTTGTACCAGAGTCTATGCCGCTATCTTTGGTCTGGGAGTCCTGTGATTCCTGACGTTCCGCCTCCCATAGTTCCTTCCTGGCAGCAGGTAGCGGTAGTTCCCGCCCACCCGACCACTGGGGCAGGCGACGCCCTAGTGCCAGGTCACGGGGGATACCCAGCCCGAGGGGCGGCCTGGGTAGATCCTCCTCGTAATAAACACTAGAGGCACTAGTCCACCTTGGGTCCACACTCGGCTCCAGCTCCTCCTCCAAAGTGTCCCAGCCTTCGGAGTTAAAACGCACAGTTTTCTTTCTTCGTTCTGTGTAGTTTCTGCTATCAGTCGCCCTATTATCACAATATTCTTCACTTACTTGATTATGGTAAGTTCTTTCAAGTCGGTTAAGATATTGGTTATATCTGTCCCTATATTTGTCGGCTAGGTCCCTGGGAAAGGACTCCAGGTCCCTATGGTTCCCTAACCCATAGTCCCGAATCTCATCCTTAGGGAGGCGATAGTCTCTATGGTAGTGTTTCTCTCTCCGCGGTCCCCCGGGTTCGCCTAACCCAGGGCGCGGGTACTGGTCCATATCCCCTGCGAACACAAACACTCGCAAACTGAACACTTTTACCAGCGTCACGGGGGCCCCCCCCTCACCAGCGACAGCGGGCCACACCACCACCATTCACTACCACCCACGCCCTGCCACGCCTATACCACGCACGCCGCCCACGACAAGCACAGCCACACGCTACGTCCCTCCAAACATAAGTTTCCATCACATCTATTCGGCCGGCGTCCACCTTATTAGCTCCTCCTCGGGTAGTTCGCCTCTCTCTCTCTCTCTCTCTCTCATGGAAACAACTTACGGGAGCGATGCTCTTCACATCCATACACTGTAACTTTTCTATTGTTGACATTTATATTTGCTATTTGTACACATTAAGAAACATATTGGGATATTAAACGATTAGCGATAAAACACTAGAATGTGAACGCCGGCACAAATATCGATGTATTAAAACGCCTCCCGACCTGCACAGTCATTTCCCTCCCGACCTAGACTTTCCTACCCCTCCTGACCTACACTCTCCTACCCCTCCCGAACTTTACACTCGTGCCCTTCCCAACCTACATTCTCATGGATAATGGCTACGAATTCCCAGGCTAGTCCTACAACCCACGACCGTAGGAGGTGTAATGCTAGAATCCTCTGCAACAGAACTTGTCTCCCCCTGGCACCAAGACTCCTTGAATGGGGGCGGTAGCTGCTGCTGGTGCGAGCGTGCGTGGGCCCTGGCGTGGGGCCCTGGCGTGGACCCTGGCGTGGGCCCCTGGCGTGGACCCTGGCGTGGGCCCCGTTGGGTATCCTGGAGACGACGAGGTGAGAACAGCGGACACGAGAAGAGCGGCGGGCAGCATGCAGCCGGACAGCAAAACAGGCGAAAGAGGTGGAAAAGAAGGGCGCGAGGCTCAGACGCTGGGCTTTTCTCAACCTCCTCCACGATCCATTTTTTTTAAAACTGTCCTCTAAAAAAATTTAAACCTAAATCATAACAGACCTTTTTTTTCTGAAAATTTTATATGTGAAATATAATTCTGAAATGAGCCTAGAGTAGCCCAGCGACTGACGCCAAATGTTCATTTGCAACGAACGAATTGAACGAACAGGCAAAGTTAAAACGAACGACCGGAATTATCGCGGCATGAATGAAGAAAGCAGGAGCAGACACGATGATCAGGAGCAAAAGAAAGGGAAAAGAGAATAAGGGAAAAAAAGGATATAAAAGAAACTCTGTTTCAGGGAAAAGAAATCAAACTCAAGGATTGGAAAAAAAAAACCTGAGAGGAAATATATGAAACAATTTATTCTCACGGGACGAGTCATGGACGCTAACGAGATTGTGGCACCCTTAGGCACCCTGTGGCACCCTTAGAAATCCTGTAGCACCCTTAGGCACCCTGTGGCACCCTTAGAAACCCTATAGCACCCTCTGGCACCCCAGACGCGAATCCTCTAAGGAATTTGTAGTGTAAAGGTTGACAATGGTGCTGGAACCTGACACAACAGGACCTGACACCCTGGAACCTGACACAATATATCCTAACACAGTGGAAAATGATGCAATGGGACCTGACACGATTGGGCCTGACACAATGGAACCTGGCACTTTGGAACCTGACTCAGTGGAACCTGACACAGTGGAGCCTGACACAATGGAACCTAGCACAATGGACCCTGACATTGAACCTGAAACAATGGAACTTGACACAATGGGACCTGACACAAGGGACCTGACACTGGATCTGACTCAATGGAATCTAACACTGTGGAACATGACACTGTGGAACCTGACACAATGGGACCTGATACTGTGGAACTTGACACAATGGAACTTGACACAATGGGACCTGACATTGTGAAACCTGACACAATGGAACTTGTCACAATGGAACTTGACACAATGGGACCTGACACAAGAGATCTGACACAATGGAATCTAACACTGTGGAACATGACACAATGGGACCTGACACTGTGGAACCTGATACAATGGAACCTGACACTGTGGAACCTGACACAATGGAACCTGAAACAGTGGAATCTGACACAATGGAACCTGAAGCAGTGGAACCTGATACAATGGAACCTGACATAATGTAATCTGAAAGTGGGACCTGACACAGTGGAACCTGACACAGTGGAACCTGACACAATGGAACCTGAAACATTGGAACCTGACACAGTGGAGTCTGACACAGTGGGACCTGACACAATGAAACCTGACACAATGAAACCTGACACAATGGGGCCTGACACAATGGGACCTGACACAATGGGACCTGACACAATGGAACCTCACACAATGAGACCTGACACAATGGAACCTGACACAATGAGACCTGACACAATGGGACCTGACACAATGGGACCTGACGCAATGAGACCTGACGCAATGAAACCTGACACAATGAGACCTGACACAATGGGATCCGACACAATGAGACCTGACACAAAGGGACCTGACACAATGTGACCTGACACAATGGGACCTGACACAATGGGATCTGACACAATGGGACCTCTCACAATGAGATCTGGCACAATGGAACCTGACACAATGGGACCTGACACAATGAGACCTGACACAATGGGACCTGACACAATGAGGTCTGATACAATCGGACCTTACACAATGGGACCTGACCCAATGGGACCTGACACAATGGGACCTGAAACAATGGGACCTCACACAATGAGACCTGACACAATCGGACCTCACCCAGTGAGACCTGACACAATGGGACCTCACACAATGGGACCTCACACAATGAGACCTGACACAATGGGACCTGATACAATGGGACCTGACATAATGGGACCTCACATATTGGAACCTGACACAATGGGACCTGACACAATGGGACCTGACATAATGGGACCTGATAAAATGGGACCTGATACAATGAGAGCTGACACAATGGGACCTGATACAATGTGACCTGACACAATGGGACCTGATACAATGGGACCTGATATAATGGGACCTGATACAATGGGATCTGATACAATGGGACCTGATACAATGGGACCTGATACAATGGGACCTGATACAATGTGACCTGACACAATGGGACCTGATACAATGTGACCTGACACAATGGGACCTGATACAATGGGACCTGATACAATGTGACCTGACACAATGGGACCTGATACAATGGGACCTGACACAATGGGACCTGATACAATGGGACCTGATACAATGTGACCTGACACAATGGGACCTGATACAATGGGACCTGATACAATGTGACCTGACACAATGGGACCTGATACAATGGGACCTGATACAATGTGACCTGACACAATGGGACCTGATACAATGGAACCTGATACAATGTGACCTGATACAATGGGACCTGATACAATGGGACCTGATACAATGAGACCTGATACAATGGGACCTGATACAATGGGACCTGATACAATGAGACCTGATACAATGGGACCTGATACAATGGGACCTGATACAATGTGACCTGATACAATGGGACCTGATACAATGAGACCTGATACAATGTGACCTGATACAATGGGACCTGATACAATGGGACCTGATACAATGAGACCTGATACAATGGGACCTGATACAATGGGACCTGATACAATGAGACCTGATACAATGGGACCTGATACAATGGGACCTGATACAATGAGACCTGATACAATGGGACCTGATACAATGGACCTGATACAATGAACTGATACAATGGGACCTGATACAATGGGACCTGATACAATGGGACCTGATACAATGGGACCTGATACAATGGGACCTGATACAATGAGACCTGATACAATGGGACCTGATACAATGGGACCTGATACAATGGACCTGATACAATGGGACCTGATACAATGGGACCTGATACAATGGGACCTGATACAATGGGACCTGATAACAAATGGGACCTGATACAATGGGACCTGATACAATGGGACCTGATACAATGGGACCTGATACAATGGGACCTGATACAATGGGACCTGATACAATGGGACCTGATACAATGGACCTGATACAATGGGACCTGATACAATGGGACCTGATACAATGAGACCTGATACAATGGGACCTGATACAATGGGACCTGATACAATGAGACCTGATACAATGGGACCTGATACAATGGGACCTGATACAATGGGAACCTGATACAATGGACCTGATACAATGGGACCTGATACAATGGGACCTGATTACAATGGGACCTGATACAATGGGACCTGGCATTGTGGAATATGAAAAATAAACCCTTAACTGAAAATGACTTAACTAGCAATCTCCTCTGAAAGTGATAATGTCCATCGAAAGTGACCTCTGACTGACAGTAATCTTTAGCTGAGAGTGACCTCTGGCTGACAGTGACCTCTGACTGACAGTGACCTCTGACTGACAGTGACCTCTGGATGACAGTGACCTCTGACTGACAATGACCTCTGACTGACAGTGACTTCTGACTGAATGTGACCTTAGAAAATGATCTCTGACTAGAAAGTGACCCATTATTTGTTTGTGAGTGTAAGTTAATTTAAATTATCACACAATCATATACAAACTTTGTGTGTGTGTGTGTGTGTGTGTGTGTGTGTGTGTGTGTGTGTGTGTGTGTGTGTGTATGTGTGTGATAGTGTGTGTGCTGTGCTTGTGTGTGTGATCTTAAATTTCCCAACTAACCCAAGTGAAGAAAAAACACAAAATCTAGACCACAATACAAAAAAAATTAGACCACAGTAAAAAAAATCTAGACTATAATTTAAAAATAAACCACGGTAAAAAAAAACTAAACCACAATTTAAAAAACACAAAATCTAGAACCAACATAAAAAATCTCAACAAAGTTTGAATAACTAACAATTCTGAGCAAATGTAAGAAACAAAAACTAAACCACATGAAAAAACTAAACCACAATATTAAAAACCAATCCACAATGAAAAAAACAAATCAAGACCACAATGAAAAAACTAAACCACAATATAAATACTAAACCACAATGAAAAACTAAACCAGAATATAAAAAAAAACCA